ATTTATTTTTTAATGATTCGCAGTGTTATTTTAATTGTCTTTAAACAAGTAATAAATAATAAAATACCTTTTATATTTTTGAAAATGTAAATGGAACAAATATAAAAATCCACATTTTTTTAATGATAATAATTTATTTTAATGATTATAATTTTAGATTTTAATTGTACCAATATCTTGAATTTTAACGAATTGTTTAAAGACAATTAAAATAACACTGCGAATCATTAAAAAATAAATCAACCAAAGATCACTAAACATAACATTTAAAACAAGTGTCCTAAAAGCCGGTCGGTAGGGTATGCAGGCACCAACCACTCGCAAAACATCGACAAGAATTGATTTAGTTTGAAGTTTTCTCAACCACTGAAGAGCAGTCGGTGTATTAAGTGACACGACTGCGATATGCCCTGTTCCGATCTCAGTGGACTGATTTCTATAAATTCGAATACATACATATATGTAAAACATTTTACTGCTACCACTGATTTGAATTTGTAAACAAAAATAAAATGTATGCTGAAATATTAAAAAAATATATTATAACATATAATATTAATATTTATATCATAACCCAATAGTAAATACGCCCATATTCTTAGGGTACCAAGTTTGAAAAGTGGCAAAAGACAAAATATTCTTGATGCGCCGAAATGAAATAAACGCACACATGCTCCCGTGTATGAGAATGCATGATCACGCATACATACAAAGACGAATTCAAGCGCAGGGCAGCCTTCTTCAAAAAGCGCCTCTCTGCGACTGAACGACTGAACTCGTGCAATGAGTGCGCGAGCAAAAAAATGAGAATAAGAATGAGAGAGTAAAAAACCCGAACGCACACGAAGTGCATGGACCTGCTGCTGTGAGAGCGGTGGACCTTCCGCGGTCCGAATTTTTGTGTCCAAATGCGTCGTATGAAATGACCAGTCTATATGTTGTATGGTTAGTGCTATTATCAACGCACAGCCAAATCCACTGATTAACAATATTAATATGCATTTTTATACATTCTAATAACTTTAAACTGATTTGCTAATATTAATTGGGGCTCCTCAAGTGGTTCCAATCGCTTCCAATTGGAAAAAAGGTAAACTTTTCCAAAATTCTGGACGGTAAGCCGTTTAGCCAATTTATTCCGTGTTTTCGCCAAAAAATAGTTTAAGACACTATAAGACACTATTTTTACTATTTTTAACTCACGTTCCAAAATTACAATTTAGCCAAAAATATCTTAAAACGTCGAAAAATGGCACTTCTAAACTGAATATAAAAAATTCCTTCGGTAAATTTTTTCTCTAAACTTCAACGATTCATTTGTTGCTTTCACCAAAGCTCTAGCTATCTTCTAAACAAAGAAACTAAGCAAAAAGTCGATCCACTTAGATTCGATACTAAGTGTCTCCATAAGCACCATACGTTTTCTATTTCTCTTTCATCGACGAAGGCGACGACAATAGAGCCTAACAAATAACGAGTAGAGTGAAAGCAGACAAAAATCCACTCCCTCTTTTTATAATGTATCACAGGCGTTCAGCAGAACAAGCTTGATCACTAATTACTGATAACAATATATTACAACATATTGACAGAAATAGTAGGGAAAACGAAGGCGATATTTAAATTATAATAACAAAAACTACCGCTACTAGGGACGGAATACAGAATGCAGTACCTCTAGTGGAAGGAATAGGGAAGTCTCGGCAATTATGCCTAAGCCGAAATCATCTGGTAGATCAAGCTACCGTAACAACAAATTTACTGCCGGATTATATAAAATTAAGGAAAAGAAACAACAGGAGAAACATTAGAATAATCAAATATATAATATCCACGAAGAGTCAAATTTTTGGGACAGATCCTCGAAGTCCAACCAGGATATCTAAACCAAGTGAGTGCTTACTTCCTTACTCTGTTCTAACACCATTCAATGTTAACAAACCATTAAAGCTGTCAATCGACTCTGGGGCAAATATGTCGTTCATAGACCCCATGAGAGTTCCGCAAAAATGAAAAAAGAAAACTAAATACCCCTATTCCAATTAAAACAGTACTGAAAGCCCATTATATTGAAAAGAAAACAGGGGTCAAACTTTTAACAATCCTGATGAGCAAAGAAAACTTGATATGTTAATATTCCACAGTTGTTGATATTCCAAAACTGCAACCTCAAACAATATTTGGTAACCTAAAATTATATCAGTAACAAAAACAACATTGGCAACATTGACGTAAAAATTCATATTCAGTGTAACGAACTGATTTTGTTGGTTTCCGCTACGAATATTGTGTTCGTCCCACCACATTTATATAAACGGGACCGCTCAATGGACCAGTAAGAACGCACAGAAAGTTCGGGTATATAAAAGGGATCTTTAATTTCCGACTTGACCCTCGGCCTGGGGCTGATAATGACAAGTGAATACCTCTAATACCTTCCTCGCCGATCCCGTGTGAGCACTCTCATTCCCACGTTAATGCTCCTTCTACTGCCGTTGGCTTGACTGCTATCAGGGTATAGGGATGCGTCACCGTTCCCAGACTAGGGTGAACAGGCACTATGCTCTTAAGGCGTACACCTTTTGCAGCCCCAGCCTCCTGTCCCTTGCACTGTCCCGGTCGGTCGCACCGAACGCCTGCTAAGTTCTTACCTGACGGTTCAGGCGTACGCCGAAAGCCGTCAACGGAGTCTCTGTGACAAACGCTACTTTCTAGTCGAACGCTTCCACCCTAGCCTTTTTGCCGTGGACTCTAGCGGTGAACTGCTGTGCTTTCAACGCATACGCCTTTCGAGACATCAGCCGATCTACACGCGTCCTTCCGGGCTAGTCGCACCAGGACCTGTACAACTCTCGCAAGACGATCAGTACGCCGGTCTTCGCCTATGCGATCCCTGTAACAAGGCAGCTAGTTCTAGACAACTTCCCTTCCGAACCCACCGTTCCTTTCAGAAGAACTCTTTTTGTGTAAATCTGCCTGATGCCTTAAGAGGTCCTGCACTACCTGTGTCTCAATTCGGAGACTTCAAATACTAATACTGACTCCGCACTGCTCCACTTGGTTCAACACGTTGTTTCACTGATTCACTTGATGACTGATACTTGTGGACTGGTAAAAAACGATTGATCCAGCTTCCTGCGTTCGGCCTGCTTATATAGGCTTCTGTTTACCGCTAGTTATCGGCGTCTCCTTGCCTCCAATTCCAAAGTCCACGGTTTTACCGTTCGACCTTTCGCCCTCTGCGCCCGGCACCACAGTTGAGTCCGAAGTCCGATGCTGTCCCGTTGTTCCCTTTTGGACCCGGCACTCCGACGCTCTCACTCCGGTTGCCGTCTCCCTCGGACTCTTCCTGTCCCTCTCTGTGCATACGGTACCACACTCTCTCGCCACTACCATTCCTGCGGGTGAATTCGCCGCGTATCTGGCAATTGCGAGATTTTTTGACTGCTTGCTTTAAAGTTCCACTGCGCCGATCCTCCTTCCAGGTTTTCAATTTCCCGCCCAAGATGTTTTTCGTTCTTCATCTTCCTCTTCTCCGTCGTCTGGTCACATTATTCCGAACCGATCGATATCAATTACGATGACCTATCGTAGCGTGACCCTTCATATGCCGATAATTCCAGTATTTGCAGCCCATCGATCAGCACTATCGTCCTGTGTCAATCGACCGCATATAAATCGAAGCGACCCCATTCCTAAACATATAGTGACTTTGCATAATAATATGGTAAAAGCAATTTCCTATGGATTTGTTTTTGTCTACTTATTCAGGACTTTTCCAGTTTTCACTCGGAAGTGAATTCGTCAAAATTGGCGATTTTCCTTAACATAATCAAAGTTCCCTTGCTTGCTAGCAAATTTCCTAGGAAAATTACTATTTGGAGGGAAATAAAACAGCCGACTGCCGCTACTGCTCTTAACAAAAGCCTATGATTTGCCTAAGTTTTCCAGGCAAATCTCTGATCAACATTTGGCCCGCTGCTGTTCCTTACCCCTGTATATTGTTGGTGCACAAATTGAATGTCTAAAATCAGTGAAAATATCATTGGTAGGCAAAATAAAACAAGTTCTACTTATTTTAAAGGCAGTGTTGGAAACTGACCAACAAAAGTGTTGAACAACTCGTGTGGAAATCAGCTGTGTTGCCCGAAATAATTCAAAGATTGTTGGTTTGTTTTTAACAATGTTTTTGCAACTTTAAGCAAATAACGAGTTGAGAAGGCAACAACTGTTAGACATTAAACGCAACAACCGAAATTTAAGATGCAATGATCCATTTGGCATTCACGGCCACTCTTGCACCTTTCACAAACCCCTGTCAATGTTTGACGTCTTGTTTGTTGTTCTTGTATCCTCCTTTTAAACTTAACTTATAATTTAAACTTCTAACCATATAAAAACAAACCTAAAAGCGCTTGCTAAAAATAAGTCCCAAGAAAATAATTGTTTTTATTGAACCATGACAACATTTGCTTGGTTTCTATCAAAGTCGATATGAAACTTGAGCAGGGGCGGAGGATTTGCAAAATTCCAGTAGGTTAGAATCGAATCGATTCTGAGGTGCCATCACAAAATAATTTTTAAAAAGTCAAATATGTTACTATTAACCAAGTCTGTTATGCAAAAATGTTCTTAAAACATCAAAGAATAAGGTAAAAATAACGTTTGAACTTTAAGTTATCGCAAAGTATTTTAAAAGAATTAATTTCTGTTCTTGCGGATCTGAATCCGTCAGCCAATTGCTTGGAGAAAAGTTTCCGTTCGATTTTTGCAAAAGTTAATAGAGGAAGTGTAAATCTTTCAGAACTGAAAATTGGAACAGGTCTGGGAAATTCGAATCCGTGTGAATCTTTCGGAAGTGAAAACTGGAAAAGAACTGATAGTCCTTATCACTTTTTATTAGATTTTATGACGTTGTATTTAAAAAAATTTTGTCTCTATAAATAACGAAATAAACCATGCAATGAAATTGGCCAAAGCTCGGGCCCGTTAGCAGAGTGTGCACTGTATAAAACTTGATGTATATTCTTCAAATTATGCTGTGATGCTAAATTTTGTTCAATTTTTTGTTTAAGGTACTTAAGTAGGCAATATATAAGAAGCAACGTTATCCATATTTTCCCCTTTTTTGTCATTTAAAACCCAAGGCAGTCTTGGGTTAAAGTGGTTTCCGTTTTTACGTTTCAAACATTATGATGCTCCCCACAAGGAAGGCTCCAATGGAATTGCTAATTAATCAATTTAAATTTGTAACATTTTCGAAGCTAGAAAATAAAAATGTTTTATTTAGATATTTAGAGACAATACGGTATTATATTTATAGCATAAGCATTAATATAAGGATTACCTGAAATATTCGAACAATGTACGCCAAAAACGACAGTGTTTTAATTTGTGCGCCCATGAAATCCACAAAAATGTCTTTTTGTGGCAAGTTTCTGAAAAGAAAGATTTATAAAAAGAATTAGTGTTGATATTTTTTTATTCTTTTTTATGATGGTAAAAAATATAGAAAGTGTTGGACAAAATTTGAAGTTTCCACGCTGGTAAGGGCGCTACCGAATGTTGGTGACGTTTGACCCTGAATGTATACAAAACATTTGTTTTTTTTTTAATTTTTCACTTTCATCATTGTAAATCAATTTTTTAAAAAGCTTTGCTGATTTTAACAACACAATATTCTCTGAAGCAAATGCAGTCTCCTCCAAATAACTTTTCCAAATGACCTTGAAATGAACTTTTGTAAACTCGTATTTTCGGTTGACTCATCAGCCTTCGCTTTCAGAAAAAGTGATCAGAAAAACACGAAAGGAAAGCTTACCCTTAGTCTTCAAACAGACTAATTTGCCCAAAGGCAACGTTGGTCCCGAAAGGGTTAACAAGTTAAGACTACCGAATAATTGTTTAGATGGAGACTAATAGTTTTGTTGGTGGAGAACGCCTCCGCCAAATAATCGATCAATCTTTCTTATCCCTGATTATTATTTTTACCACTTTGTAAATTGTTTATTATATGACATTTGAATTTGTGAGTTGATACTGTAGTGGTCTTGGTTTAACCTAAAAGTATTCCCTTTTGTTTTTTTTGGTCCTAGTTAGTGGAAATATGTTATGGATCCATGTTGTTCTTTAAGACTAACTGGCCTTGCATAATATTTCCTATGGCTCCTGCGTTTTGACTAAGACTCACTGGAGAAGTTATAGCTTATTTAAGTAATAAAGCCGTAGTCACTTGGTAGTTGAGACCAGCTTATCCACTTTTGTCATTGGGAGTAATTTATGTTGAGTATTGGACTTGTGGAGCAAAGAGCTACAGCCAGTCCCTTAAATTTCTTAAATTGGCAAACTAGAACCGTAAAGAATCAATTCAAATATTTTTGAGCCTGGTTTGCACTTTGACGTTCATGAGATTGATGTTCCTTTCATTAATTATTTAGCCTCTGTAAACTCTCAGCCAGAAACTGTAGTTGTCACAATGGCAGAATCTATTCAGCAGTCGATAGCCGAAACTCTTACAGTAGCTATGGTGGAACAAACACGTATTTTTGCATATAGCATGGCCAATCAAACAGTTCAAGCTGATGGGCTTCGAATAAATTTCGATTCGAGTACAAATGCAGGCAGAATCCCACCTGTTAGCTGAAATAGAGCAACAAACCCTGCAGCAAATTCTTAATTTGTCTGGAAACGGGCAGACTCCTGAAAATGGACTTGGTTACAATCTAAGTACAGCAGCTTTAGATATTCGTCCGAATCGTGTTAGTCAGATAATGGCTAACTGGAAGCTCAGTGAGTGGTTTTGGCGCTACCTTTAAAGTTTTCCAGAGGTAAAATGAAAAGATTTGGTGCCAGCACTGAGCGGTCAGTTCAAGGACGATAGAACTGATAGGAATATCCGAACTGAAATGGAGCTCAGAAAACAGCGAATAAATGAATTATTTGATGACTTTTATGGGGACAGAGCCGATAAGCGAGTCGAAGCTTTTATCTGATATTCAGAAAGTGTAGTTCAAGTTTTTCAAAAAACTTCCAAGCTCGCGCACCACAAAAAACTGCAAGGAAACAGATGGTCTGCAAAGAAACCAATACCGATTCGTCGAACACTCAGATCGTATAAATCAACTAGCCGAACTCATTTTTCCAGACTTATTTTCTAATCACCCATCTGTGTCACCAGAAGTACATAAAATCAGTTCAAAATGTCGTCGATTAGCTTTTTAAAAACAATGCAAATCGGAAAGAAAGGTACTCCTAGCCTCAATAATGTGAATAGAGCACGATGTGCGCTCAAATGCCCAAGTAGTCCTATTAGATAAAACAATTAATGTGTTAATGGATACTTGGGTTTCCGTCAGCTGCACAGGAGGTAGTTTTGCTTCTGAACTTCTTTTTGGTTCTCTAAAATACAAGCCAATAACTTCCAAAGGACGGTTAAAGTCAAAATATCATTGGTAGATACTGCGGACGGTAAAAGTCAAAATCTATAGAAACGAAACTAAATCCATTTTTTCTATTTGGTTCCCTCCCTGGCTGGAGACATCTACCTCGGGATAGACTTTTGGACAGTTTTTGATTTGCTACCTATACACTCAAAGCTTGATTATATTATCTATTGAAGACCAAAAAAGACCAATGCCTAATCAACAAAAAAATTTACAGAAAGCGGTCAATTTATTCCCTTCCTTTTCTAAACAAGGTATAGGTAGAACTTCAATAATTTCCTATGTTATTGATATAGCCGATGTTTAGGCTAGCAAACAGCGCCACTATGCCATGTCGGCTGCGGCGAAGAAGCAAATGTATGGATCGGATGATTGCACTGGGAGGGATTCAAGAGTCAACCAGCTCATGGTCGTCTCCTGTCGTTTTAGTAAAAAAAACCTAGGAAAGTAAACGCGGTTACTATGCCATTAATCGATGGTATTCTGAGTAGATTACCAAAAGCTGAATGCATCACAAGTCTTGATCTGAAATACGCCTTTTGGCATATACAACTTAATAAAAGCCCTCGCGATAAAAGTTACGGTTCCTGGTCGTCCTCTTTATGAGTTTGTGGTTATGCCATTTGGATTAACCAATGCCCCCTTGTATCGCGTTTGATGGACAAGATAGTGCCAGCACAATTGCTTAACGAGGTACTTATATATCTTGATGATATATTGATTATATCCGACTCATTTTAACGCCATTTTGAAGTCCGATTAATAGTCACTTCTCAATGCGCAATAACTTACTATCAACGTCGAAAAAACAAGTTTTGCCGTTAAGTAAAAGCCAATCAAAACCAAAGAAAAACAAACTCAATTCATTGCGATTAAGTCCTTCTTTCTTATCACCAAACTCTTAAAATACGTCACAATATTTACATAAACAGAGCACCCTCACACCGGCAAAAATTCTTTTGAACGTGGAGAACGAACATAAAAAACTGAACATAAAACTAATTATTTTACATTTTAATTATAAAATGAAAATAAAAGATAATGCGTCATGTTAGCTGTGAATAAATGATAAGTAAGTGGGAAATTAAAACAACATGAAATCAAAAACATTGAAAATCATTGTTCAGTGTTTTAACACCGCTCACATAACTATGACTAAACTTAAATAAATAAACTAAACTTAATTAAATTCAATTAAACACAGTTAGGGCCTAATTAAACATTATATTATACACAGATCTAATTCTAAATATACCTTTTTATATGAGTAAGTTAAATTTTACTGCGCAAGTTTTATAAAACGAATTAAAATGATTGAATATCTTGTTTATAATTTAGAAAGGAAAGCCTAGAATAGCTGTTTATATTTGGGAGTCATGCATCATGCTGTGAAGAGAGAATGATTTAGCGTCGCCGTTTATTAATGGGATCACCAACTAGTTTAAATTTTAGAATTCGGTGGGTGGGCAACCCCTACGACTGGCATAAGCCAATTTTGCAAACACAGACTGGGTTGACACACGAGAACAGTCGCATCCGCTCCACTTAGAAATCCGTTAGATCAGCACTTACCTACCAAATAAGAATCAACGAAAGAATCAATGAGAATTTAATAATTCATTCTGAATACTGAAGTCAAATCAAATGCACGTCGTGCGATGTTTGTGGCAATATATCCAACTTTATATATATATTCTCCATCATATACATTCTCAACTCCCGAACCTGTGTTAACTCACGCGATCTGGCAATACCAGACTCGTTCCTTATGCTCCCCTTTTGATACTGGCATTCTTGTCGGACATTCCCTTGCCCACAAGTTTGGAGATTTTCACCGCCTGACGAGTAAGCGAATGCGGCGTACGCAAATAAACTTAGAAACCCAAGCGCATATTAACACGTGTTTTTACTCAATCGGGGTCTAAGGCAACAGGAAGCATACAGCTACAAATAATTTGGACTTGCGGAGCTCTAAAGGCGGAAAGTTTATCTGGCCGAGAAAGCGGCTAACAAGTTTCCTTAACATTTGGTTCTTTCTCACAAATTATTCTTGTTTTTGAGTTTGTAGCCATCAGTTTTGCACTTTACTTCTCCCAAAAATTCTTAATTTTCAACTGCTTACGGCAAGTATAACATCTTTGTTAAAACAAATTTTTTTTTGTATGGTTTAGTATTCTGCTTGGAGTCTCACTTTGACGGTATTTTAAAAGTTGTCTTTATATTGCAGGTAGTATATAAGTCAGAACGAGCCGGATCGGACGACTATAGCATATAGCTCCCATAGGAACAATCGAAAAAATAAATAAAATAAATAACTTTACTGTTTTTTAATTTTTTTTTGGTTCTTCGACATATAGTAATGGTTAAATATTTCAGAATTACGATTTAAATTTCATCAAAATCGGACGACTATATCATATAGCTCCCATAGGTATAATACAAAAATACAAAAACAATTATAACTTTGCTGTTTTTTAATTAATTAATTAGAACTAATAGTTCTTGGACATATAGTAATGGTTAGGAACAATCGGAAAAAAAATACAAAAAAATTATAACTTTCTTGTTTTTAAATTTTTCTATTAGTTCTTCGACATATAGTATTGGTTAAATATTTCAGAATTACGGTTTAAATTTCATCAAAATCGGACAACTATATCATATAGCTCGCATAGAAATAATAAAAATATATAAAATAACTATCTAATAATTGAGCTGAAAATCATCATAGCTTCAATGTTTTTAAACATATACGCAAGTAAATCATAATTCTAAAGTTTTCAAGAGTATTTAGTTTTTGCAATAGCTGCAAGGGTATATAAACTTCGGCTTGCCGAAGTTTGCTTCCTTTCTTGTTTTCATTTGTGTTTATTATTTTGTGTTTTTGTTTAGGTTTTTGACCCCAGTGTCAAATTCCCTGATGTATTTATGTTTTTAGTTGACATTATCGCTTTTTTATTCATATTATAAATAAATAATTATTAATGATTACATAT